GGCAGATCCTAGTGTCGAGGAAGGCCGATATCGGAGGGATGCAGAGCAGTTGATGAGGCATATACAAGGCAAGAACAAGGACAATAAGGCCATCAATTTGATTTTGGAATTTTCCGTGGGCAAGGTTAATAAGGTCATAGACGAAATGGTACGTTTGGAGAATAGCGAAAGTCACACAACTGAAGGCTGACGACCTAGATTAATCTCTATGAGCCAGCCATCCTCGTAGTAGGCACTCGTGGTCGAAGTCTTGGTGGGTTCCAAGGTCTTCTTCCAGGATCCGTTTCGAAATACTGTCTCCAACACTCCCCAGTCCCCGTTATCGTTGTCCGGCCGAACTCCAAACGAATAAAGGCGAAGACGAAGCGGGGGTTAGATCCCAGTAGGCACACCTACAGGGAAATTTTGGAGAAGAGTGCCGCACAAGGCGGCCACGTGCTAGATTTGAGTCACCGAAACAGTCTTATTGAGGAGGAGAGCCTACCAGTTTCAGAAGATGAAGCAGCCGCAGTAGCGGCAGAGATTGGCTATCGTCCACTCGATCACAGCCCGTTGACTCTTGTCCAAACCGCACCACCAGAGCTAGAGCCGAATTCTCCTGAGAGCACGCATAGTGGCTTCAATGGCGGCGATTCTTCACCTGAAGATTTCCGAAGCCCTGGCGTAGTTATGAAAAGCCCCGAATTACAGAATTTGGACAGTCCACCCTTGAGCGATGCCAGCAGTAGCGATGATGATGTCGAAGATACCGAAGACGACGGAGGAGTTCCAACCAATTTTCAACTCGAATCGGCACATGAAGAGGAATCCAAAGAAGAATCCAAAGAGAAGACTTCAGAATAGAAGGGGCGGCATTATGTGGCTTTAATACGATACTGACGATATGCATTGCTGTCGGTGGGGTCATAGGAGGTATTAGTACTTTTATATCTCGATACTGACATAAATGTGACGACCATAATGAGCTCAGACTTTCATCTATATATATTAGCAGCCCAAAGCGTTAGAAATGCTGACGCTCATAGCGTTTTGAATACAAGCTGCTGCGAATGACAAAAGCCCGTTCGAAGAATATGTGATCGTTACTCACGGCCACGGTTGGACAGGTCCTTTTGCATTGCTTTCAGTCCATAAAGCCTCCCCGAGCTTCGTGAGACATATATAGAATAAAATATGGACCAGCTACGATTCCATTTCGGTAATAATTGGAGTAAAGAGTGTGACTCTAATAAGAGCTCTGAATTAGTGTAATCCTTGGCCGCCACCTTTGAAATCTCTGGGTGGACTTTACTATGATTCACTCTACAATTAACCTCACCTGGAGGTCTTCGTTGTGTGTACTACGACGAGAATTCCTTGGGGTGAAGGCGCATGCCATGGATACTAGGAGTCCAACGAATCAGAAACAGCCTTGGCGAAACAATGCCGCGCATTCGCGGGTGATGCAGAGCATTGAAGGTGATGCAAAGCGATGATTCTGACTTACGTTGCTCAATCATCTCTACCATGCTCAAACTCCAACACTCGGTCCATTTCAATCAATGGGAATACGTTCTGAACGGATCTCACTCCAACCTCACCTCATAAATATACAGTGCCTCTCTTCCATCCGCCACCTATCCCATGCTCCCTTCGGACGATTGCAATGATTGCGTACCGGACTATGTCAAACGGAACCTACCTATTTCCTCCCTAGCCTTTTCCTCCCTTCCCTTTATTCTCACATTCCTGGTCGTTGCGGTAGCGGTATCGCACAAACTCTTCCCACTGCTATCCGGTAGAGCGCCTCAGAAAGACTATGACGCCCAGCTTCCTACCACCGCCTTCAGCTTCAAAGAACGTCCATCTATCGCCGGACATCTGAAAGGATTGACAGCCAGGACGCTCGCAGTCACCATATTCTCAGCAAACATTGCGCTTTCCGCGGTTCTGGTGGAGCTCATACTTTGCGAAATCTCCAATACTGTAAATCCCGTGGCGCGGACTCTGGCAATTAAGATTACTCTACCATCGCTTTTATTCCTTCTTATTATTGCTACCCCAGCATTGGAAATACATTCGGTTATATCCTCCGCTGGATGGAGTTTTGGAGGAGCTCGAAAGGCACAAAAGAGAGTAGCATGGATTCTGGAAGGTTTGGGGCTCGCTATATGGCTGATAGGCTTTTGGTATCTCGGAAGAGCTTTGCTTGGGTCATATCTACATGAAGAGTCTTATGTCCGCACTCACAGTATTAGTGAGGGATGCTTAGAGAGGATTGGTATAATTGGGGTATGTCTGATGGCATCGCTTGCTGGTTTTGCGGCTGTCAGTTCGTTATGGCAGACTTTTGGTGTAAAATTCAGACCGGTATGTAGGACGTTTCGCTCTATTTCTCGACACTGTGACACAATATCTGTCTTCTTCAACTCCAACTTCCGCCTTCTCCCACTGTTCTTCTCATTCTGCCATTGCAAGATAGGGTGTGTTTCCAAGTAGATAGCCATTGAGAATGACTTATCCAACATTCCCCTGAAATGGCAGCCTGCCCCGATGCCATCTATATCAGAGGATGCGTTCTACTTTGATGTCTGCTAATCTATCAACAGGTTACTGAAGCAGACATCTCTCGAAAGCAGGCCGGGCTTGACGCCACAAACGAAATGCTTCTAACGAAGCAAAGTCGACTGCGAGCCCTTAGGCGCAAAATGTCCGAAACGCCTCAGGAAGGGTTTGTGACGCGTATAGTTGGGTCAATTCGCGGAAACGTCGATGTTCAAGAACGCAACACACTCCAACTTGAAATCAGCGGCCTCGAAACTATGCGCACTTCCCTCTCCAACTCTCTACTGGCCCTCGAGAGCAGAAGACATGCTCAACTCCGTGCTCACACACCGTACGGGCGTCTCCTGAACTTCGTCTCATACATATTCTCTGTCTATTGTCTATATCGAATCTCCGCCACCGCATTTACCACCTTGCGCCGATTCTCTTCGCCAAATACTAGTTTCTCGAACAGCGATCCGATTAACAACGTGCTGGCGCTCTTAGCGAAACACTGGGACCCATCCCTTGACCGCGTAGCTTGGAGTCGACAAATATCCTTCTTACTCTCTGGCGTCATGCTCTTCGCATCATTCAATAGCGTACTTCAAACCTTCCTCCTCTTTGCCCGCCTTGCGCCTGGGATACTTCATCACGCTCAAGCCAACTTAGCCCTTCTGGTTTCGCAGATTAGTGCTACATACGTTATTAGCTCTGCATTGTTGCTGCGAAGCAATCTTCCTAGAGAGGTGAGAGGCGTAATATCAGACGCTTTGGGAGCACCTCTGGAGCCGGGGTTCACAGAGAGATGGTTTGAGGGATGGTTCCTTGCCGTGAGCGCATTGACAGTGGTGGGTATCTGGATTGGAAGGAGAGTGAAGGCTGGTGGATGGAACGATGATGATGAGCTCGGAGACGGAGAAGTAGAGATGGGTAAAATGAGTTGATGTGATAGCATCAATTGGATTCCTATAGCATTCAATAGCGATGGGATAAGGTGACGTGTTTTCTGACTGTATGAAAATAATTGAAATGAAATGAAAGTCATGAAGCCACAAGTTTTGACCCAACTTTATCCGCCAATGAATCGTGATCACTTGAAAATGACCTGATCCTCACATGTCAGACAAGGAAAGAGCTCTCAGCTCCAGGGTTTTCAAGGAGAAAGTATGCAGCGATGATCGACACCATGACCGACACCAAGAATCCGGTGCCAAGAAATGATAACGAAGGGATGACGGAATGACGTCGTCGTCGGGCAATGTCTATGAAAAAGCGCGGGGCTCATTCAAGCAACTTTTCAACATAAGACATCAATCCTCTACTTCTCCAAAGTCACACGAGAATCAATTGACTACCTAGAACTACATAGTGAGTGCTGAACCTCTCAAAGGATTCCCAGATATCCTTCACCGCTTCCAAGCTAACGTATATCGCCCAGAACATCCTTCTTCAAAATCAAAACCAAACAGTATGCCTAAATTCCCTTCATTTCCATTTATCACAGCAAACCTAACCTTCATCCACTCAATATTCTTCTCCTAAATCTATCCTAATCAATATATCTATAAAGACCACACAAAATGTCCGCTCCCAAAGCAGGTCGCCAGTCTCCAGAGCCCGAGAACCAAACCGGTGCTCAGCAGCAAGATCCCCAAGCCAATCCCAACGACCAGGGCGCTGCACCCTCAGCGGAGTACGCCAAGGACGTGTCGAAGGAACAGTTGTCGAACCTGAGCAGCAACCCCACACATCCGCTCGAGAAATTTGCCGAGCAGAAAACGAGTAAGAAATAGGATCGGTTATGGATGATGGAGGCTTGAGGAGGGTTAGAGCGTGGACTGTGAATAGTGGAATGGGATGAACTCGGCGGCGAGATTGCTTTGAACTGATTGTCGAGAGCAGAAAGTTGCTTCGTAATGGCCTGCGAAGTGCTACATAGTAGTCAATTGGGTTGACGAATGCAAATGATGCTGCCCATGATATTACTTTGGTGTAATCCATCTAATACCGTACTTTTTGATTGAATGCTAATTCTGATGATAATGTCATAGCTTCGTCCTACTGCTGAATCAAGACCGCTGTATGAAATTGCTACAATGTCCTAATCCATAACAGTGAACGTCAGCATTCTTTACAAATATCTGGTCAGGTCTTGAAACAAACGCATATAGGTGCAAATTTGGGAAGTTACCCAGGTGGTTGTTGGTTCCTTTGCGTATTCGATTGTAGTCTGGAAAATTCAACAGGTCTTGGCAACATCCATCCCAAACGCCCGCTAATTAAACCTCCAATTATTATATCTATTTTATATACTTTCATATAGGACGAAATAAACTTGTTGTAAATGTTACAAGTACAAGAAAATATTATGCCAGTCTTGACAAGATCGTTGAGTTTCCCATTGCCGAAGTTACTCAAAAACGACCACCCGAAAAGAGAATTGCCCAACGTCAAAGGGGCAAAAAAAAATTGATTGGACGCTGTGGGAATTGAACCCACGACCTTTCACAAGCACACGTTCAAATGATGCGAAGCGAAACTAGGTATCGGATTAGTGCCTGGTTGTCAAATGTTACATTACAGCTACTCACATCATACCCCTAGACCAAGCGCCCTGACGCAATTTAGGATCTGTAAAATTAAAATATATAATATAGATCAAGAAAATTCCGCAATGAAAAACTTTCATGACTAGTGCGGCGTCTGAGATGATTGAAGGGTTGGGAGGATCATCAGTGGCGTAAATCCATGCTTACGGCGTCCGGGGCTTACGGCGTTCTTTCTATTCCCTCCCAAATTCGTTAGACTAAGACCTCGTCATGTTCAAGACTTTTTAGAGTGTCTACATATTCCTTCTGTTATACAAATCGATCCCTACATTCTGCGGTGGAGCCTTTACCATACCAATGGCTCTCGGAACCCTTCTCCCCTATTGGCCAGCCATTTTATTCGCTTACCTCGAACCTCTCTCCTTGTGAGTCTCCGTTCCTTAAAACTCCCAAAACGACACAACTTCAACCCTAACCCGACTCCCCAGACTCCTCGGCACCCAAACCGCTTGGACAGACCCCACCCGCTTCGCCACAACCCAAGTCCCCGACGACGGCACCATCCTCACACCCAGCATCGCCTGTCTCTCGTACACCATCGGCAACATCTTCCTGCTCCTCCTGCTGGTCGCCGTGCTATGTCTCTTCATCTCGCGTGAGGCGCGCGTCGCCAGGTTCTACCTACTCTTCGTCGCGCTGGGCGATCTGGGGCATATATACTCGTCGTATCGCGCCATGGGCCCACGCAAGTTTTGGGATTTTGGAAACTATAATGATATAATGTGGGGCAATATTGGGGCGAGCGCGTTTCTATGCGTCAATAGGGTTGCCACGCTGATGGGAGTGTTTGGGGCGGTTGGGAGTGTGAAGGGTGGGAAGAAGGTGAAGAGGGTTTGAGATATGGAAGGGAAAAGATTTGCGAAGGCTTTGGAGGTTTATATTGATGGACGAAATGTTTGAGGACTTCCAGCAGCCTGGGCCGGCAATGGCCTTGGAGATGTGTCTGGAATGAAGTAGAGTCCTTGCTGTTTGTACCTCCGGACTAGGATTTGGCTCCTTGTTTATAGCTGCGTCGCTCATACCGAAGAAGGGTATTCAATATACAACGCCTGACTATCCAGTCGCGCTAACTGGAGCAGTGAAATGGAATATAAATACCCCTTGGGCTGGAAATCTGACGCCATTCGGAATACCACTCACGAAGAACATTTAGGAGTCTCAATATTCGTTGCCTTTATGCAAGCAACCTAGCTGACGCCTGTATTCGCCTCCAAAACGGTCTCTCCGCTTCTTACGGATTCATATCAACGGGATTATTTAGCACAGATTTCGACAAAGTCATATTCTTGAACTTTTGAACCCCTTTCTCGGTATTGTGCGTCCCTCACCATTAAGCCCTAGGCATTGAAGCTGCAACATTTGGCATATCCCAATCCTTTTTCAACCACCCATACTCTTTGAAATTTTTGAACAAGGTATTGAATGCCTCCGAAATCGCTAATCCGACAATTAAATGCATCTTTCCAAAGATTTACCTTAGCTTCCAAGAACCCACTGTTTATCCATCTATCCATCTTTTCCTCGGTAACTCTCACTAACGGGCGCGCCTCCTTCGTCCTGCCGATATGGCTGGAACCCAAAACTATTCCCTACTTGCCCCATATCCGGCATGTTCAGAAACCCCTGCTGCATAGCCGCACCGCCACTATCACTATACACAGCATCGATGTCATCTAGCTGCGCCGCGCTCGCAAACCACAGGTGATCAGGAATAAAGTCGCCGTTTGGTCCGGTAGTAGGCGGAGGCGTGTCTCCTATGTCCGGCGTGTTCTCCGTGGTGTGGTCCTCGTAAGACTCTGACTCGGAGTGATCGTGGGTAGCGGAATGGGATTGTGGCGCCGAGTCGGCATAAACGTGCGAGCTTGAGCTGGGTTGCGATTTGACGTGGTTGACATCTCTGATCAGTGCAAAATCTGCGTTTGACTTGTCCGGTATCGCTTTCACGAGGACGCCAGTTGAGGTGGCGAGCATGCTAATGGCGCGCTCGAGAAAATCAGCGCTCTTAGAAGAGAGTCGTAGCATCCATCTGTACTCTTCCAGCTTCGCTTTGTAGAATTCAGCCTCGTCCTTTTCTTGTGCTGTAACCCAGAGTAGAGAGACGAAGGACCCAATGAGCGCGAAACAGTATTTTGACGCCGAATACCAGAACGACTGCAGATGTTCGGGTCGAAGGCCTTTGACAAAGTCCATTGCGGAAACGAGACGGGCTCGTGCGGCAGTACGGCAGATTGAAACGAGTGAGGGGTCGTCGAGGGAAGAGAGGGAGCGAATTATTCGCCGATGGAGGGTTATTTCAACGGCATAGTAGCCCAAATGGAGATATCCTGGGGGATTTCTGGTTAGAATGTTGGGGAAGAGTATGGACAGACCTCGAGTTTACCTGTTGAAGACAGCTTTCTCATCGTAACATTCTCCATTCGGAGGGAAGGGGGCAGCTGCGCAAACCACTGCTTAAGCGCTAATTGGCTGGGCTTAGCTTTTTCAAGTATCCAGCGGACGCCGTCTCGGGCGTGTTTTCGAATATCCTCCTCCGCTTTCAGGGTGTAGAAATTCGAAAGTATCACTGCAAGTATTTCTGTAAGTGCTATCATCTCACAGAAGAGCGTCCGGCCTTTTTCCACTTCGGTACTTCCATCCTCATCATCCTCGTCTGCAGCACTTTCAGGGAAGTCACTCTCTGAGAGTGATTTTACTGCCCAGTCCGTCGTTGCTATGTGTGACGGCCTTCCGTGGACCAGAGAACCCCACTTGTCCTGCATGAACAGCGCCCAAGCCAGTCTCTTCCGCAAACCTCGTTCCCAAGTGGGTATTCGCCAAGTTGAGCAGTCGAGGTGTAGTCCAAGGTCTTGACCCAGCCCGACAAGCTGTGTCGTCAATGCCCAAGAATCTCCTTCTGGTCTTTGGAGCAAAAGTAGGCCCGCCTGGATGGTAGATAGTTTTGGTCGATGGATTATATCATTCATTGTCTTGAATGCCATCTTCTCCAGCTTGGGAACATCGGGCTTAGGCAGGAGGGCTAGTTCGCTGCTGTAAGACCACCAGTTTAATGCTAATATATACACGGCAGCAAGCAGTGGTGGTGAGAATTCCCGGTGCGTTCGTTGATATTTCTCCAGAAAGACTTTCTTGTGTAGGATGGGAAAGCTTGGGTGAACAATCCGGAAGTAGAGATGAATCAGAGGCTGTCCGTGGGGTGCAACAAGCATTTCAATAGCATCCAGGTCCACGAGCTCATCTTCATGATTCCGCGTGCCTTCATCTGGGGAAAGGATGAAAGCGTCCGTAGTGTTGACTTTACGGAGGGCCGAAAGTCCGACCGGCACTTCGTCCTTGTCATTGTAGGCATCGAGCTCTAGGAGTATCTGCTCATACTCTGATGTCGGGCCGATAAATCTACTGTGTCTATGGTTCTGTAGACCCAGAGTCTTTTTTAGCAACGAAGGTCCTTTCAGGTTGGCGTAGTCATCTATAGGTGGATCCTTGCGTATCGAGGGATTAGAGGGCCTGTGAGGTAAATCTCCAGACGAGCGTCTAGGAGTCCATGTTTTATCTGAGGACAACTGCGGGGGTCGACGAGTAGCGTCCCGTGTTATGTTTCCATGGATACCCTCTTCTTCGCTCAGCGACGCAGCTTTTCTTTTTCTAGGCTGAGGGTCTTCAAGAAAAGTGCAGTCTTGACGATGGAACCGGCACAGAACGCAAGAGGTTGAGCCATCGATCATTTCACATCGTGACTTGCGGCGGCGGCAGGAGTCGCACGGACGACGGGATCTGCTCTTCGACAATCCCGACTCGGCCTGGCCGGAATAGGAATCATTGGGAGAGATTGCTTGGTCGGGCCGGTAGTTCATTGTTTGATGCTGAGCGGGAGGACTGTTACCCATCGTAAGTCAGGCTTGCACATACAATGATACGCGAGAGAAGATGTCGACACATTCTAGTATAATATACAACTGGCTGCATATCATACATTCTGAAATCGGACAGAGAGCCGACACGTAAAAATATCATGCAGACGTTTTAATAACGTACCAATGGGAGATCGCCGAAGGTTTACGCTTGGATCGACCAGGCGCCACACGAAGGGGAAGGGCATTTGTTGCCGGGGAGCGGTGCAAAGACTCGGCTGCTGGTCACTTTGAAGATAGCTAAGATTGGCTTGGTTCTGCGTCGTGAAGGGAAGTTTGACGATGCTTGCGGCTGCTAGGAATGACCCTGATGTGTGCTCAAGGGTGCACATCAATACCTGTCAGGGACTGTCGTGTGCTCTTAATAGACTTACCAGCACCAGGGTGCTGGCTCGGGACATAAGCCAGATGGTGATCTTGGTGGGGGAACAAAAATACATGCCCGATTCTGATAAGGTAGGCTGCTTTAGCCATTTCGACGTCGGCGACGTTCAAGGCGGGCGACGGGCAAACCGGGCGGCCTGGAAACGGCGCTGTTGAGGTTTGGGAGAGTCAAGATAAGAGCCAGGTCTTCACCAATCATGACAGCAAGTGAGCGAATATGAAAAAGCCACTTCCGAATTCGGTTCACATTGCCAAGGCTTTCGCCCTCGCGCACAAATTAGGTAGGAAATTCTTGACATATCCATAAAGATATTCAAATTGACCTTGGTGTAAGCCTTACCATTTCCTACAGCCACACAGCACAACAAGAAAGAGTATCACCACTGCTTGCGGATTGTAGCCGTTTTCATCGCGTGCCAAAACGAATGTCGTCTCCGTCCATTTAAACCGGGCTGACTTCCTTCTCCTTCGTAACATATTCCACCTTGCCCTCGTCGGTCTCCTCCCCTTCGATAGATGGCGGGCTAACATCTCCCTTCTGTGGTGGTAAGACTGCCTCCTCGATGATTGACTCCGTTGGTACAGAAATGTACGTGCAGATTATATAGTGCACTAGCATCGATGTGAAGAATCCGAACAACCAGGCAAATGTGTAAATCTTCCACGCTCCGCCAACGTTGAGAGTTGGCTTGATGCTTTTTGCGAATCCGGGCA